AAATTGAGTCTTATGAAATATTTTTGAAGCTTGCTAGTTGTAATTTGTCATGGAGAGAATATATATATCTTATTAGACGTTTTGTAGTGTAGTATCTCTGAGTATTTTTACGAGTTGTGGAGTATATTGACGAGCCCGTAGGGCGAGTCAAAATACAAATAACGAGTAAAAATACTCAGCGATACTACGCAACAAAACGTCTAATATGTTATTTATTATCCAACACGCCAAAATTTTATTTCAGTGCGGGCGCAGTTCGCGGATTTATTTACGAGGAGTGCGTGACAAATGTATGCGAAGCGGAACGGAATTGTCGCGTTGTGTTGCTGTTTCTATTCTCTTTATTAAATGAAGAAATTTGCTGGTCGTCAAGCTGTTTTTCTTTGTTCGATTCATCTAATAAACTTGGATCTATATTTGCCAGCCATTCTGACTCTTCGTAGTCGGAAATATGATTCAAATTGTCTGCCGCTTTTTTTTTGTAGAGTAACTACAATCCAATTCTTCGTTTGCGCGATGCGAGAAAACCTGTTTAACCGTTACTCTACAATAGACGTGTACAAATACCGCGTGATATTTGTACTCGTCTATGACGTTATTTGTACTCGTCTAAGTGTAGTTGGATAATAAATCGATTTATTTAATTCATTTGTGTGGTTTGAATCTTATGAAGTCAGTGAAAATGACGAGCACGTGAATTTCTGAAAGTGTTACACGAATAAAGTTCACCTCAATCGTAAAATATCTTAGGAATGTTAAATGGCTTTAAACCTCCTCTCTGTTGTGACAATCCTCAGTGTACCTTTTTGGGGCATACTTGTGAGTTATCACCAATGGATCAGCCCCCGTAGCAACAGTTGCTAGAAAAAATTTGTTTTGAAATGTACTTGAGTACTTTAAGAGGTCAACGGTCGAGTCTTTGGCTCGCTCGTTATCAGAATTGGAGTGTTCAAGTGTAACACAGTTTAGTCAGCCGCTAATTGTATAATCGCTGAAATTCCGATCTTGCTCTTAAGTCATTTACCAAACACTCCAATCTCAATATCATATTAAGAAAGTTTTTCTAGAGGGGTTGTTACATTGACGAGAACTCTTTATATTAGTTAGTATACACGTACATTTTTGTAAAGAGCATCTTTTTGCTCATCAATGTTTCGTGTTTAAATAAAGTTATACTTATACTTATACTTAGAATGCAGCACCAAGATGATGGCGAAACACATTATGAAGATTTCAACACATAGGACTCATGAATGCTACCACTATCTCTTTACAGATGAATCACGCAAAATGTATCAATTAAATTCTACAGCTCCTTTTCTCTTTCATACAATCATATTCGGATAGTGATGAAACATTTAATTTGTCTTTTAGGGTTATTGAGGTTTCACGTCAGAATTGTGCTAGCATCGGATATTTGAGTGAGCAAAGAAGGAGACATCTTCCACACGAGATAGCTTTCTGTGGCTTGAAATCTACCATGGCTTGTGTTGTAGCACAGTCTTAGACTGAAGAAATTTCAACTGCTTGACCTTGCATTGTACTCATCCAATTGCCGAGCAACCACTATTTCTACTATTAAGAAGCTTATTTTATTACATGCATTTCAGTTCAGGAGTACGTAAATCAGGCGTAATACCGAAGATGCGAGAAAGAAGTTTTATGTTCTTCGGGGATTCCCTTCGTGCAAATGATTTTGTCAATTGGGGTTTATAACTGATGAAACAGCACAACTTTTATGGGCTACGGAAACCTTATACTCCATAAAAGGAGTGAAGTGCTCTATCAGAAACATGTCTCACTTGTATTAACCGAATGGGGAAGTTAAAAGAGAAAGTTCTACAAGGTAGATTAATCGATTTATTGAATTACAAGGTGGATTAATCGATTTATTGCAAGGTGGATTAATCGAATTAATATGATAACTCCTTGATTACATTAATTTCCTTGAATACGACGGCTGATAACATATTGGCAGAACGTTTTTCTTGGTTGGCGCTAGGATTCGGAGATTCCTTGCGAAGAACAGTTCTACTTGCACTCTAGCGTCCCCCATGAGTTCAGAACTGTCCAAAAAAAAAAAAACCTGAACTGACGATCGTTTACTCGTTGCATTTTTTCTTTTACTTAATTTTCTATTATTTTTTCTTATCCTCGCTTATTCCCTTTCCCTGATACGCGTAATTGATGAGAAAAATTTCATTTTTTATCCCGGCCTTAACAGTTAAGAACTGTGCTGAACTTTACAAGTGCGGTCAAACCATCAATGGTGTTTATACAATCGACCCTGATGGTTCAGGTGCCTTTAATGTCTATTGTGATCAGACAACAGCTGGTGGAGGATGGACAGTGATCCAGAAGAGGGTGGATAACACCATAGATTTCAACCGAACTTGGAAAGAGTATAAAAATGGATTTGGTAACTTCCTCATTCGTGACTTTTGGCTCGGACTGGACAAGATCCAACGCCTGACCCAAAACAAGACAGAAAACAAACTCCGCGTGGATCTGGGAGTAACTGACGACAAAACTGTCTACGCAGAGTATGAATGGTTTGGTATTGAGAACGAGACAGCTGATTACAAGCTGCACATCGGCAAGTTTTCATGTAAGTCAATTTACTCTTTCTAAATCAATTCAAATTGTTATGGACGACAGTTACCATCACCTCCCTTACATAGAGTACATCTCAAAACATATGTCTCACAAACGACTGTTTGCCTTGAGAATATCAGTGTGATTCATATCTGGTTATGCATATTATACTCATGAGACTAACCCTGAACAACTCATTTACTTGAGAGTTGCCTGTGATTTGGTGGCATAGTATCAATCAGATGACACGAGGACATGGAATGTATAGGAAATTAACTAGTGGTCGGATTTGATTCAGTAACTTTGATGCTCCAGAATTCAAAATTGTTTTCTGAAATGTCGCCTCCACAAGAAGTAGAATCCCATCGTTTTATAAACAAAAATGGGCCAGAGCTAGGCTTTTCACAATTACGAATAGTTTTCATTTATAAATGTAAAATAAATTGATTTTTTTCCTCCTTTTTTTGTTTAGCTGAAGCTGATACAATTGATTCGCTATCCAAACATAATGGTAGGTCGTTTAGAGCCTGGAACAGATCTTCAGCTGACTATGATTGTACATTTGGGGGAGGCTGGTGGTACCTGGAAGACTGTGAGACTATTTCCTCAAATCTCAATGGCATCTACCCTTCTCATAAAAGTACTGTTCGTAACATTCATCAAATTTTCTGGGGACGGTTAAACCCTGGAAATGCTACCGCTGAATACCAGGCCCCAAAAAGAACTGAAATGAAAATAAGACGAAAGGACTTTTCATCGTGAGTGAGTGGAGGGGAAGGATGATTGTATATGTTAGGATAAAATTTTCCAGATTCCCCTGTAAGGCTTTGCAATATTTTTAAGTTTTACCCTTATGGCAGTCAAAAACAAACATCCTCCACCCACCCAAGCGATAACTGACGTCTGGCTCTTAATCATTTGTGCTGATTTATTTTTCATAACGTAAACTCCAATTGCATATTGTGAAGGGAGAGGCAATTTTAAAATTTGGGATAGTTATCTAAGATTGTGCAAGGAACGTGCTTAATTTGAAAAGAATTTTGATGGAAACAAAACGCAAAATTTTGTTTCTTTAGGAATTTTATACCGGTAAATTAAATTACACCTGACCTTGCCGTCAGTCAGTTAGATCCAAAAGTAAATTTCTAGAAGCATTAATTATAATTAGGTCAAGTCCACTTCATACTAAATTAGACCGATCTCAAGGTTTATTGTAAACTTTATCCAAAAGCGTTGAGATAAATATGTGTTATAAATAAATGATATCATAAAAGCCTTCTGTTTTCATCTGAATGATGTTTGTGATAAAAATTAGCAAGGCCCAAGTCCCAAGAATTAAGTAACCCCCATGACCGTTTCATGTGTTTGCAAAACTTTCTTTTAGCGCCTCGGTGTTTAGATAAGGCTATGCTGACACAGAAAAGTCCCCCCTGACCAGTTTTTAAAAATTTTGACCAGTTTTTCTGACCAGTTTTTAAAAATTTTGTTAATTTCGATTATCGTGAATTTTTCATAGATCAAGCAGGAAACAAACCTACTCAGTCAATTGTAGATAATGGTTTAATATTCATATGAAAATGTATTAGTGCTATACACAGATATGTTGCGTAATTTCAAAGAATACAGAAGGGAGAAGAGTCGTGACCGAAGTCACTCTCCCGAAGGATTAGTCGTTTAGTTGGAACTATGCATTAGTTTTCTGTTACGTTTTTCCGTGTTTAGATGAAGCTGTGTAAACATGGAAAAAGTCATTGCTTAAATCAGTTTAACTGTCGCTCCGTGAGCTTTTCACAGACTTAGCTGGAAACAAACCTGAACAAATTTCAGTTATTTATTATATGAATTTTCTCCACCCATTTTAGTGTAAGCGAATAAATTGAAGCTCGAAATGGGGGTTCACCGTATATGGTGAATTCTCTGTTAGTCTACAGTTTTCCGTGTCGGAATAAAAGTGTCTGTTTGGATTTTCCGTTTCGCTTCCGAACAATCATTGTGTTCGTTTCTAAGATTACACTTCTCAGTCTTTTCAACTGTTACTATCATATAGATGCATAAATTTCTCATTATCGCTTAGCACGAGTTATCATGTACCTGTTTATTAGACGTTTGGAGTTCTAGCTTTGTAAAAAGGTCAACTGTCAACTTATGGGTCTTCTTTTAGCTTAGATAAGCAGAGGATAATTCTGCCCCTTTGAGTCCATTTGTTCTCGCAAAATTCATTGGAGTTTCCTTTCTTTTGCATTCAAATCATTAACTGATCTCGGCAGGTTGGCTTTAATTAAAACAACTTATTGGTCTTCTTTTAACTAATAATCAGCCATGCAAGCGAATAAACAGCTAAAAACCTTTCCGTGGAAATGTGGACAAAGGAACAGTTGGGGGTGTGAAAACTATCTGGCTTTGAGGAAAATAAAATTGCACTGGGCACAGTTCAGTTATCGCGTAGAATGCCGCGAAACATCCGAGTACTTTTTACGTCTATTGGCAGTAAGTTTAAATGATCCTCCGAGAAAATACAAAGCAATAAGGAAAATAGCTATAAATGGCCTACTTGTGCTTACTTTTCAGTTTTAAATCACAAACCAGTTCCCGTAACTATTTGCCAGCGTATGGATTTTATTCAATAAACAAATTTATACTTATTAAAAGTTTTCTTGCAGTTCTGATAACCGCTATCGAATCTACTTTGAAAAATGTTAATTTTAGATGCTCTTACGGTATGGAAGCTGATGTTCAGATTGAAAAATGCGAAGAAATATTCGCGAAACGTCTCAGTCTTGACAGGGAAAAGTTTCTCCTATGTTTCAAGAGGGCTTATGAACATTTTCGCTGCTATACAATGCCCAAAAGTGCTATCGAAACAGCTTTTCCAAAGCAACCTCTGGCCACCCTGAATTTTAAGTCGTGAAGCACGGTTGACTGCTTTTCTACAAATTCTGCGAGTATACCAACAATATCGCGCACGCCACTCCAATACACGATAGCAAGCGAAGGCATTTTCAAATGAGCTTGAGACCAATATAAAAACG